GTCTTATCTGTCAGATCTTTAACAGTCAAAACGATGGCAACCAACCATACCACTTTGTATGTGTATGGCTCTCCATAGTCCCCATTTATGATTCAATCACCTACAACAGACTCCCGAAAGGGCTCAACTACACTTTTTCTAAGCCTCTCATTCCAGGGCTTCAATCCAGCATTTCCCCCATTCCAGTTACTGTGACGAATCACCTCGTCACCTTTGTAATAATTTGCATCTATTATGGGTTTTGCTTTGTTGACCACAACAGAACCAGTTCAAAGCCCTGCTTGAAATGGCTAGTAGGAAGTTGAATGTCGGTAACTCAGGGACTGCCTGTATTCAGAGACCCCAGAGTGCAGCAAAGTACTTAGCATGACCCCCAACCCACACTTACCCAGATCTTGATGCTGGGGCCTGTGGCAGCACAGAGCCAATAGCGGTTGGGGCTGAAACACAGGGCATTAATGATGTCCCCGCCATCTAGAGTATAGAGGTGCTTGCCTTCGTTGAGGTCCCACAGCATGGCCTGGCCATCCTGTGCAAACAGGGAAGGTAAGCCAGGGCAATATGACCACTCACTTTCTGTTAATTCCACCCACCCCAAGCTTTTATCCTAATCAAATCTTTGGCATTCACTCAAGTTCCTGCAAGCTAATAACTAAGAATCCCTAATGACCTGTACTTCATTATCAATTCTGAAACAATACCTTATCTATTGTTTCAAACCAGCTTTACAGGAAACAATCTTTTCAACAGCATGCTTTATCTGTTATTTTCAGAAAATGATCTTCAGAAACCCTGTTTATTGTTGGATTTGTCTTATCTTGTTAAGTATTCTTTCTGCTGTACCATGGAGACTCCTGGCCCCTGAATACCTTGCCTCCAGAAGCACAGAGAGATCCATCTGGAGAGACAGTCACAGTGTTCAGGTAGCCCGTGTGGCCTATATGGTTGGTTTTCAGCTTGCAGTTAGCCAGGTTCCATACCTAAATTGATAGAGGGGTGGGGTCCACAGGCTAGGAATATGGCTGAAGGTTAGCCAAGAGGAAAGGTTCAGGAGCCCAACAACAAAAAAAGCACGACACCTTATTTAAAAGTACTTCTGCACCAGACAGCCATTTATCATTCTATCAGTAACAAAACAACAAGGTTAAAGCATTTGTCTTGGCCAATTAAAGACTGCACCAAACAATGTGCAGTCTTACAAAGGACTCTTAAGCTCTTTAGCTACACAAGAGCACTACAGACCAATTATCAAGAAAGAATGGCTGGTATTTTGCTCTTTATTTCTGAGATGACCCCTAAAATATCTCACAGACTGAACTGTCTTTCTTATCTAAGAGGGTTCCAGAGAAGACACTGTGCTGACAAGGCAACTGAGGTACCATGTGGTCAGGCCGTTAAGACCGAAGGCATGGTACTGCCTGACCTTAGGGAAGAGGGGCATGATTCAGTCATGTACTAAAGGTTCCAAAACAGACTATGGTCAGAGAAGCTCCATGGGCTTCCTGGTTGGTGAAAGCCACTGATACACATGGGAGGGCGGCAAATCTCTTTTGCGGACATGGAAAGCACCACCACATTGGGAATGCTTCCAGACCTCACCCTAATGAAACCGTAATTCCACATTCAGTACTCTCTGAGGCATTCTTGTGAAGTATCAAATTCAAGCGAGTAATGAAAAGACCCAAAATCTGTAGTCATCAGGCCAGAAGTAAGTGTCATGGGGGCTCCAAAGTTTGCCGCTAATACCCAAGGTCTTTGGCAGACTTGGTAGCCTGGGGGACTATTCTCTTTAATTTGTGAGCTCTGACCTAGTTCCAAGTAGTCAGATCAGAAGGACTACTTGCACAAAAACAGAATTTATTTCAATCGATTGGCAGTTTTGTGTCAGAAGAAGGATTCTGCAAAGTGTTCAAAGTTGAAACCTATGACCATATAGAAAGAAACGGGAACACTTGCTGGCTGGCAAAGGCCTTTGGCCCTGGCTCCAAGCTCACCTTGACTAACTTGTCCCAGCCACAGGAGACGATGATGGGGTTGCTGCTGTTGGGTGAGAAACGGACACAAGATACCCACTCCGAGTGACTCTCATCCTACAAAAAGAGAGAAGAAATGCTAGACCACCACTCCTCCTCTCTGCTATGAGATGGATGTTGACAGTATTGTGTCCTCATCCTGGATCCCTCTGATTCCAGATAAGACCTGAAACTACAGCATATAGTGAAGGGAAGACCCTCAACTTAAACACATTGTTGTCGTCACTGCCACCCCTCCTTCACTTTACCTGGACTGTGTATTTACAGACACCCAGAGTATTCCATAGCTTGATGGTCTTATCTCGGGAGCCAGAGACAATCTGCCGGTTGTCAGAGGAGAAGGCCACGCTCAGTACATCCTTGGTATGACCTACAAATCGGCGTGTGGTGGTGCCCCTGAAGAGAAAGCCTTGGTCACTCTCTAGACATTCTTTACAAACCTTCTCCTGCCACAGCCCTATCACTTCCTTGGCCTTGTCTCTGCCCAGATTTGCTTAACTCACATACTCCTGCAACCAAAGCTCTGAGCATAATAAGCTCTTGGCTGAGTATATGCCAGAGAATCCCTTCAGAATTGCAGGACATGTCCTCATTTCCACATGGGGATTGGATGACAATGTCTTCTGTCATCACTAGGATCCTCCATCATTGCTGCTACTTGCCTGACCACCATCCAGGACAGAGCTCCCAAAGCCAAACACATTCAAACCACTGTGTACCCTCTCTCATTACCCAGCAAAACTCCTTAATTTGGCCACTGCTCAGGAATTCTGGGTTAACTAATTCATTTAAAAGAAGACAACTCAGTGTTTTTAACAACTTTCCTCATTTCTGCTCAGCTTTTCCCCAAGGCCCCAAAGCAAGGTGAGCAGGTACTTGCGTGGTCAGATCCCAGAGGCGCAGTGTTCCATCCCAGGAGCCTGAGAGGGCAAACTGGCCATCAGAGGAGATGACCACATCACTAACAAAGTGGGAGTGACCACGAAGAGCACGCTGGGGAATGCCATAGTTGGTCTCATCCCTGGTCAACTTCCACATGATGATGGTCTTATCTAAAGAGATGGAACAGAAAAAGAAACCCATTAATCCACAACAGAACTCTGGTGTCATCTATCCCTGCCATCTCACTTATCCCTACCCTACAGGCCCTCTGCTGATGTACTGGATATTCCAGGATGTCTCAACATCACGGTTAGGTTTACAAGGATAAATTACACACAAGAGGGATGCGAATCTATAGGTTATGAGAATATCAGCCAGAGCTAAGCGATTCACTGTTACAAAATTTAAAAAAAGCCATTCCATAAAAATTTACATCAGGTTTGCACAACTTTGCCAGGGGCTGCAGAAGGCTTTTTCTGATACTCAGATCAATTCAACCATCATCTCATGTATTACATGAGTTGTAATGCAGAAACAGCAGTCTGGGTGTAGAAAGACTAGTTGTGGGCACAGGGGCTTGTACTTCTGAAGGTTGCCAGAACCGAAGTATGGGAAATAGCTTTACATGCCGCAGGGTTGGATGTTTTCACTGAAACGTGTCCTATAACAAACTTCACAATTAAGGGCCAGCCATGGTCCTAGCTTCAGAAAACTTTACTTGTGTGAGAGCAAACTGGAAGGCATAAGCCTTCAAATGGCCTCAGACCGACCGAGAATAAGGAAAGAAGAGAGGGCAGAAAAATCTGGAGCCGACCAGGGCGAGGTTTAGGTGACGGAGCCTCCATGGAGATCACCCACTCCAGAGAGTGCAGGGCCGGGCGGCAGCTCAGAAACAGCCTCTGGGTCTCAGCACAGGCGCTCAGATGGCATGTTGGAATCATCACCGCTCCGCGAGGCCCGTAGCTGGGCACTATGAGCTTACCAGCGGGGAGGCAGGCAAGATAAAACAGAAAGCTCTAAACCCTCCTGGCGGCCACAACCTGTTCCTTGTCTCGGTAGCCTTATGGGCAAAATGGCAACGACTTACCTACGTGCTAAACGGGTCGCATGCCCCAGTCAGATCCCGGCGGAGGAATCTTTCGGGCCCACAACTCGCGCACTATCCACCCAGCCCCGTAATGTGTGCGACCCTCCTCCAGCCCTTTACTACGTACCTCGCGAGGCAGACAAGATCATGTCGGGGAACTGCGGCGTGGTAGCGATCTGGGTCACCCAGCCATTGTGGCCCTTGAGGGTGCCACGAAGGGTCATTTGCTCAGTCATGGCGGCGGGGGTTGCGGGGGTCGCCGCAGCGACAAGGATGGTACAGGATTGCTCAGAGACACCAGCAGCACGACCGCCACCGCCACGGCCCTACAGAGAAAAAGACCGAGCATACCACCGCCGGAACCGGAAATAGTTGCCCCCCCTCCCGCTGGAGCAAAATGGCGGCCCCCACGAGTTACTTCTGCTCAAGATGGCGGCGCCATGTAACAAACAGCTGGTGAAATCGCAAGGCCGCTTGGTCCAGACTGCCACGCAACGTAATTTAACAGCGCCACAAAACTATGTTCTTTTTAAACCACCGGGTTTAAAAGGGGTCCTCAGACATTGGGGCGTCATGTCTCTGAAGCAGAAGAGCAGAAATGTACGGCACATTTCCATAAGGAATGCTTGAAGTCTTCATTGTCCCATACGTGGCACAGGGCGAGCCCCGCCCTTTCCGCTTGGTGACTCAGAGGACAAGGAAGAGGTTGCTTAATTTCGAGGTCTGAACTGTGGGTACCTGTGGGCAACTGAAAAAAAGAATTCATTAAAGAGACTTAAAAACTTTCAAGGGAGCTCTAGTAGTGGTGTAGTGCCTAAGGCATCTGACTAGTAACCAGAAGGCTGGTGGTTCAAACAGCACCAGCCACTCCTGGGAAGGAAGGTTGGGCGATCTACGTTAGTAGTGATACCGCCTGGAAAACCCAAGGAGAGGTCCTATGTTTGTTTTTGGTTTTATAAACTTTCAGACAGTGCTCAGGTAAACGCTAAAACCCTAATAGATTTTCATGCCAAAGGGCGGCTAAGGGAAGCAGATCGAGATGATCGCAGCTGTTACCATCTGCAGAATAAAAGGGGAGCTCTGGGGGCCCAGTGGTTAAAGCATTGGGCTGCTAGCCAGAAGCTCAGCGGTTCTAAGGCAACAGTACCTTTGGGGGACAAAGATGAGTCGGTCTGCTTTGTAAAGGTTTACAGCCTTAGAAACCTTACCGGCCGTTTTCCTCTCCTGTATAGGGTCGCTGTGACTCAACTGGATGGCAGTGGGTTTGGTTTGGTTTTATACATATTTCTATTTTTAATATGCTTTAACCTTAGTTTCTCATCTGTGAAATGAGCTTGGAAATAATAATACCCACCTCACATGGTGTTATGGAGAATAAAGGAGTCAAGTAAAGCCTGGAGAACAATGCTAGGTAACTTAGTGAGCATCCCTTGGGACCAGGTCTTGCTATTTCTTGGAGATACAGCTAGAAACAAATGAGGACCCTGCTTTCTTGGCACTTATTCTATGGTAGTGGTGGATACTTGAATGGGAGATTGAAGTAGAAACAGAAGTTAGATGGGGGAAGCAATGTTCCAGTCAGAGTGGTTTTAACTTAGTGAAGAGTTTATGCAAAGGTCCTGAGCTAGAGTGTCAGAGAAGGCATATTGGAGGAGCTAAGGACAGAACTCTGGCATTTGACAGCTAACCAGAAGGCTGGCGGTTTAAACCCACCAGCCACTCCTCGGAAGAAGACTGGGCAATCTACTGCCATAGAGATACTGCCTCAAATACCTGAGGGGTCTCTATGAGTTGGAACCCACACGAGGGCAGTGAGTTTGGTTTTTTTCCAAAGGACAGAGCAGTGAGATGGAGATGGGGGCAGTTGACACAGGCCCTCATGGGCTTAGGGAAGGATCTTGGCAATACGTGCTGGAAGGCTTGTGGAGAGGATGGCAAAAGTCAAGGAGAGGCAGTGGCACCCTTGTTCTGTGAAAGCCAGGACCTATTCCTTGAGGGCACCAATTGCCCTCCTAGACTGGTGAAGATTCCCGTTTTGTTCTGTAGCTTTCTTTGGACAATGAGCACTATACTGGCAGGGCTTCCCTTCCTCCTCCCCAACCTAACTGTCCTCCTAGGGCCACTGGTGTGGACATTGCCTGCCTGGCACCCCCAACTGGTTGTCCTTTAACTTTTGCAACAATAAACTCCCCCAACCCACATGTTTTCTTTCTTCTTTGGTCGTGGGAGCCCCTCTGCTTTCATCCATCCCAATGTCCAACTCACTGCCCATGACTTAAGTCATGCAGGCCTGGCCCCTTAGGCGTTCCACACAAAAGGAGAGGTGAGCCATTCCAACAGTCTCTGGTGTGCTATGCAAGGGCTTTCCCAGCTGTATGCTTGTACAAGCATAGGAAATCCTCTGCTCTTCCACCTCCACTCCCCCTGCAAACATCATCAGTTACTATTACATCCCCCCCACCCCACAAAAAAAGGAAAAACCAAACCCTTATTCAGCTTTCTTAAACTTTGCTCAGGGAGCCCCTGTGGAATGAATATGCAACCCTGAGGTAGGGCTATTGTTATGTGCTGGCCTGACTCATAGTAACCTCTACTTGGGTTGCTGAGGCAGTATCACTACTGAAGTAGATTGCCCACCCTTCCTTCCAAGGAATGGATTTGAACCACCAGCCTTCTGGTTAGCAATCAGGTGCCTTAGGCACTATGCTACCAGAGCTCCCTAGGAGTCTGGATTTAAAATGAGTTGTCTCCTCCACTGCCTCATTCACATGTGCTCAAGGATGCAACTTATCTGCACTACCCAGCCCCTTTCCAGAAGAGTCAGCCTCTCCAGCCCATCTCTATCCCATCTCTCCCACATTTTCCCGAACACTCACACTTCCCTTTTTCCCTCTACTGGAGAACTAGGTTTCCAAAGATTCCTTCTGTTTCTGGCTGGTCTACAGGCCCCTCTCTTCCTATGTGTCAACTTTGCTGGGCCTTGATTTTGAGTGGCTTGGCAGCTGTGTAAGATCCTCTGGAGGTGCACTGCCTAAGGCATTTGACTGCTAACCAGGAGGTTGGCGGTTCGAACCCACCAGCTACTCCACAGAAGGAAAATGGAGTGATCTACTTCTGTAAAGATTTACTGCCTTGGAAACCCAAAGGGGCTCACTATGAGTTGGAATCTACTCGATGGCAGTAAGTTTGGTCTTTTTTTTTTTTTGGTAGCTGTGATGTAGTTTATTCCCCATGATGAGATTGGATGTGGTATTATCACCTCCATGGGGGAATCTGCTGTGAGCAGTTAATCCATTGAAGGTGAGTTGCTTTTGGGGTGTTACCTGCCTCCAATATATATGGAAAGGATCCTGCAATTGGCCTGTCATCATCTCCAGTTCCTAAGCTTGAACCATGGGCCTGCTATGTTGCCTGCTGATTTTGGGATTATTGTCTTCTCAGCCTGTGAACCAATCATCTGCCATACTGTCTGCCAGTCTTGAGTTTGCCAGTCCCTTCAGCTGTGTGAGTCAGAAGCCTCCAGCTTGCTCCAGTGGACCTGAAAGGCAGAGCTGAAGCCCAAGGTCGTTAGGTCTCCACCCAGCCCCTAGACTCAGCACTCTGAACTCAGACTTCTAGTCTAGGGGTCCTCTAGAGCTGGCACTCTGAATTCAGACTTCTAGCCTCCAAAAGTATAAGAGAATAAATTTCTGTTTGTCAAAAGTCATCCACTTGTGGTATTTCTGTTATAGCAGCACTAGAGAACTAAGACACTTCCCCTCCCGGCCTCACCCTTTACTCTATAGATTTTTGTGGCACCGTCCTATGGAGTTGAGGGAGAAATCTGGTTTTGCTGTGGAGCTCATGGGAATATCAGTTGGAGGAGGAGAAATGGAATATGTGATTTATTTCTTAGATGACCAGACCCTGCATGATTCAGGCTTTCCCTTTGGAGTTTTCCTCACTACTCTTCATTGCTTAGAGAAGGGATACTGGCAGCTATCCATGGGCAGTGAAGATAATCCTTAGCTGAGGGAGTTGCCCCTACCCTGGGGACTACTTTGGGTATAGTTTGAGGGGAGGATAGGGTAGACCAGCTGCTTTTTCAGCTCAGCACCCACCTGGACTGAGCCCTATCCATGCCTGCTTACCTAGTATGTGTGCCTGGTCTGTGTTAGGGACCCTACCTGGACTTCTCTTTTTTGAAAAAGAATCTGTGGATTTGCTCTCTACCAGCAAAGGGGCCCTGGTAACCTGCTCAGTAACTCCAGCCTGGTCCTTTGTAGCAGTGTGATGTCCCTGGGCATCTCAAGTCTGAAAATTAGCTGCATTTCTCCCATAAGAGGTCTACCTCCACCAGCGTGGGGTGGATCTTTTAGCCTTGTCCTTTGTACCCAGGGAAGGGCTCCTCCCAGGGGGCAATTTTCCCAGCCCCACAGTGGTGGAAAGCCTGTTGGAGGTACCCATCAGAGCACTCTGCATGCAAGAGCCTTCTTTCTGCTCCCTGTCTACCTCCCTCCACTGCCCGGCCCTTGGCTTTGTTGGCAGAGCCCCCTTTCCTGGGCCCACCACCACTCCTGGCCCTAGTTCAACTTGGTTTTCACCTCATTCTGATCCTCAACTACTCCATCTCTCCCACATCTTAGACCCCACTGATACCACCTCCATTCTATACAAGGTAAGAATCTCTTGGAGAGGCTCTTCTAAGGAAGTCCGTCTCACCATTCCTTTTCTGGAGGAAGTCCACAGGACCAAAACAGTTAAAAAGAGCCCCTTGAGCCTCCCTGCCAGAGACCTGTTACCTCATTGAGGTGACCCCTCCTCTAGGAGCAGAAGTCTCCCCTCAATTCCCATGTCAGCATTTAGACCATTGTGGGGATATGACAAGTCTTCCCTTGGATGCTGAGGTGAGGGCTATTGGAGGTGGTAGGTGAGGGGCCAAGGGAAAAGTTAGTGACCAAGAGGGCCTGTTTGCTGCCTGCTAAATTTCTGTGAGCCAGTGGCTTCCTCTTGTACCTTCAGATAAAGACCAAAATCTTTACTGTCACCCTCTAGATCCAGTGTGGGTAGCTCTGGAATGCCTCCATGTTGTGTATTGTGGCCATGTTGGCCCCCCTCTGCTCCTCCAACTCATAATTCTCTCCCACACAGAACTTTTATAGATACTATTCCTCCAAGCTCTGGTAGCATAGTGGCTAAGACACTTGCCTGCTAACCAGAGGGCTGGCGGTTCAAACCCACCAGCCACTCCTCGGAAGGAAGGTTGGGCAATCCTACTATCCGTAGTGATACTGCCTCGGAAACCCAAGGAGGGATCACTATGAGTCGGGGCCGACTCGAGGGCACATAACAACAACAACAACATTCCTCCACCTGGAT